TCACCTACAAGGCCAGGTGGACGCTTTTAGACAGTCTTTCAAGACTGGAAATTGAAGATCTGGTAGCTCCAGCCCCGATATGATTGCAGTACTCTTTTTCAGCAATATGGCCCTTAAAAAGGTGACGGATATCAGGAGGAGTCAAGTACTTATTAAAGTAGTACAGGGAACTCTCCATTGAAGAGGGGTCCTGTTCATAATTTCGATAATATAAAATTAATCCGTGGCTTTTTAAAGAGTAATCTGAACTTAGTTTTCTTATTTACAATGGCCAAGTTGGAAAATCTTATTACGTCATTAATATTTGCGTATTTAAAAAAAAATTTTGTATTTTTAAAACTTAAAAAAAGATTTGGGAGAATTATTTCAGAAACACAGGGACAAACATTGGGGGATAATAATTATTGTTTTTAAATCCCCTTCTAATTCTTTTTACAAGTGGACCTGTCTACTCATGTAGTGCCAAAAATATGCATATATCTGTTTGTTCTTTAATGAAAAATTTATATATCTGTTTATTAATGACAAGAAATTGTTTTGTAGAAAATGTAAAAAAAAATTGTTTCGCCAAACAATTTCTATTGCTTGTTTAAAATATTTTCTTAAAATAAAACATAAAAATGTGTATATCTGCTTGTTATTTTTTTAAAAGAAAATCATTTTGTAAAAAAAAAGTATGTTTTAGTATGGAAATATCAATTAAATATGCAGTTTCAAACTTGACATTTGTAAATAAAAAAGCAAGTCCAGATAACTCTGTAAAAAGTCAAGGATCGGTTTTACACTGTATCGATATTATGAACGGAACTCTTCATTTTAAAACGCTATCAAAAAATTCAATACTTTTCGATTCTGTCAAATGTCGCATCTTGAGAAAGGTCTAATAGATTTATAAACATTTAGGTCTAATAAACATTTTTCCTTATTTTATTATGAGTTGACCAATTTTCTTAAATAGTACCAAAGAGAGCTTAAATGTTAGCCGGATTAAAAGAAAGTCGGTCTATAGGATTGTTAGTTGTAGAATGGAATGATAGAAAAACAAATACTAAATAGGAATAAATCTTTTTGATAAAGATCGGTTGGATGTAATATTGCCAGATTTCAAAACATGCACTTACATAACTAGTAGTCAAATTATTTTAAATGTCATCCACTTCTTCCTCAAGACATTGGCTTGACTTCTTCAGATAAAGAGATGGGTAGTTCTCCACGATATTCTCTTCAGAGTAGCTCTTCTATTTTAAACAAACTGCTACTCAAAGCTAGTTATACTCTGTTATTTAACCCATAGATGGAGGGAGAAGAAATGGAACTATGCCTTTCTGCGAAAGTGAAAGCTACAGACGAGTGAAGAATTTGAACTCGGCTTGTCAAGTTCACTTTCCACGTCGAAAACGGTGACACTACCGGCATTCCACTTTTTCCCAAAAAGTCATAACAATTCATAAATAATAATAAAAAAAAAACTTGTGGAGAGCCACAATCTATTACGTCCAGAAGTGAAATAACATGTTAAAAAAAATTCAAACTACTCATGTTTTAATAAAGTAAATTATTAATATTCTTTAAGATCTTTTCTCGAATTTTCAACCTCTTTCCAAGTGCTCCTATAATTATCTGTATGACTGTAAGCGCACCCATCTATGTTATTATTATTATTATTATTGTTCGTATCTACAATCATTGTATTTTTCTACCCAAAACCAAAAGTAGTCTCTGGTGCATTTGAGAAATTAGTTTGGTTTTCCGACCAAGAAACTGACATCATATTAAACGGAAAGGAATTGGAAAAGGCAAGAGTAGGTAGAAAGAAATCTAGAGAAAAAAGGAAATCAGATAAAAGAAAAAGAGAGAAAGAGAGAGAGAGAGAGAGAGATGGGGGAGATGGGGGAGCAGAATTAGATAGATAGATAGATAGATAGATAGATAGATAGATAGATAGATAGATAAAGAAAAAGTGAGAGAGGAGGATAATGAGATAGATAGATAGATAGATAGATAGATAGATAGATAGATAGATAGATAGATAGATAGATAGAAGGAGAAATGATGGAGATCGTAATGAAAATGGAAATGGTAATGGTAATATTAGCCGTTTCCTTATAAGGAAACATTCGACATTCGGAGAAGAAGAAGAAGAAGAAGAAGAAGAAGAAGAAGAAGAAGAAGAAGAAGAAGAAAAGAAGAAAATTCATTGGAAATTTTTAATTGTTCCATTCGGTACGTAATCGATAATATTACACTTTAATGTTTCTTTTAATTCCTTATAATTCAAAATGAAAGACCCGCTTAATCTAAAAGATCACAATCATATAAAATCGAAACTTGATAAAAGAAAAGTGAGAAAATAAATGATAATTCGAAATGAAGATTAACGACTTTGTTTGATTTTTTATTAATTGAAAAACGGGATTAGAATTGATTATTTCAATTCCATTTTTCTGAACCAGAAATAAAATCCACCAAATATTTTTCTTTTTCACACAACCAAAAGAAACTTATAAAAAATTTTTTTCACAAGTTGCAAAGCGACTTTCACTAAGCGACCTTTGAATATGGAACCTCGAAAATACTTGCCTGACACTTCAACAAATAACTATACCTGCAAGCGTTTCTTGTTACTTTAAACATTATATTTAGATGATAACTGATGTTTGTGTAGACGTTCCTGACATATTGACTTCAGTCACTTTTCCCACCAATGTGACTGTCTTTTCTATAAATATTTTAAGGGCAACTGTTCTGATGAGCTTTTCCCTTTAGTACCACAACTGCATGAATTTAAACGTGCTACTGGATTGGCAATTAGGTCCCACCGTTTTACTGCTGAACGAGCTATATGCAACCGTTTCTTCTATTCTAATAATTTCTTTTCTCTCACTTCTCACCAATGGAATTCCCTCCCGATTTCTTGCTTCCCTGTCAGCTTCAATCTTCAAAACTTTATATACAACGTCAATCGTCATCTTCTGTCTTCCTGACCCCTGTTCTTTCATTGTCCTTTCCTCATTTCTCATTCTCTTTCACTTCCTGTAACCCCATACGTCGTAGTGGCATTATCAACTTCATTGTGAGTGAGATGATTAAAACAAATTTAAAATAACATAATGAGGAAAGAAGCCTTGGAGAATTTATCACTTGAAAGACATACTGAAGGAACAAGAAAAGTTGAGACAGTGGATCTGGTTATGAAGCAAGAGCTGCCAAGGAGAACACAAAGAAGATGTTGAGAATCATAATCGCCAACGTATAAAAAAGGCAGTGCTGGGGAGAGAATTTCCGAGGTCCGGCACTTAGATTATTTTGAGCCCCGCCCCGTTCGAAAAAGGGTTTGTCTGGAATTTTCCCTTTTTTTCGTTTCTCTCCGAAACTTCTGCATTATTCCTTCCACAGTTGCATCCACAGAGTGCTCTTTTAATCACTTAAAACGAATAAAGAACTATCAATGCAAAACAATGCTCCAAGACCGCCTTACCAACTTAGCAACCCTTACGATCGAGTGTGACACGAAAATTAGACTTTGAGGAACTCATCAAGCATTAACCACCACAGAGATCCTTCCCTGCCCCCCATTAAAATGTCTGATAGTCAACTTCCTGAGAGCAACTCCCTGCGTTTGCTCGGTCTCACGCTGACTGCTGACCTGAGATGGAACAAATACATTGAGTCAATTGCTTCTTCCACCGCGAGGAAAGTTGGCTCTCTGTGCCGCGCCAGGAAATTTTTCTCCCCTGAATCGATACTCCAAATATACAAAACAACCATTCGCCCTTGCATGGAGTATTGCTGCCATATATGGGCTGGAGCACCTTCTGCTTACCTCAGAGTTCTTGACAAGATCCAGAGAAGGATATGTAATCTAATTGGCCCTGATCTAGCGTCTTGTTTGCAGTCACTCTCTCACAGACGCGGCGTCGCCTCTCTCTGTCTTTTCTACAAATACTTCCATGGTAACTGCTCTGATGAGCTGCTCTCTCTGGTTCCCAGACTCCATGAATTCAAGCGCCCTACGAGGCTGGCATCCCGCTCTCACCCCTTACACCGTAGAAACCTTCAAATGTAGCCATCTCTTCTACTCCAATAGCTTCATACCTCGCACCTCTCGCCAGTGGAACACCCTCCCCAGTTACTGTTTCCCTGAAAGCTATAATCTCCAACTATTCAAATGTAATGTCAATCGACATCTCCAGTTACCTTGATCTACCCACTATCCTTCTCCTCTTCCTTTCTCCTATCACTCTTATCTGCTCTCGCTCCAAATCTTCCGCAACCCCCTGCATTCTAGTGGCTTCACGCCTTGCTTCTGTAAAAAAAAAAAAAAAATTTGTTTCCCTTCTTAAAATTGGTTTTAGTTTTTCGTTTTTGGGGTTTTTTTTTTTTAAATTAATTAATTTTGCTTTCTACTTTTTGTAAAGAAGACACCTCATTTTCTATTAATTAATTCGATCATATTAAGTTTAATTAATTTAAAATATGAAAACATTTTCGGACAATAAATGTACATAAATATAAAGGTATTTTCTTGGGTCCGGTCGGGTTTCTTGGCCCGGCATCTTTGCGCCGGATGGAAAAAAAAAGCCACTTGCCACCACTGCTAAAAAGCAGATAAAAGAAAAATAAACTCATGGCTCAGATGCTCGAAAACATATAACAGCGGACAACACAATAATGTCTGAGAGAGACAGAGACAGAGGCAGACACACAGACAGACAGAGAACAGCAACTGCGTTGTGTTTTCAAGCTGAAAATGAAAAAGAAGAGTAATGCCATCATTTGGGTGGCGATTAAACTTCCCAGTTCAACTTGTGTAAGTAAAGGGCTTGCAACTACGAGACATTTCTCTGTCTAGCCTCTTAGTGCCACTCCACTAACTCATACATTAAATGCTTTCATTTATCCATCGTCTAAAAAAACAGACTAACAATTTTAAAATGAAAGGGTTTAAAGTTACACACCTGACTTCCACCCCACCACTAGCATCACTCCGCCAATCACTGCTAGCCCCGTCCAAGCCCAGCCTCGACGGTCGCTGCTGCATGAGGAGATTTAGGAAGGCCGCCCTCAACCGGAGAAATCTGACGTGGTTTCTTTTCGATGGTCAGCCGATGATAAATGGCCGTCGTTTCAGCTCCGAATGGCTCGTGACCTGCACTTGAAAGAGACACAAAGATGCCAATTTACATCATTAAACTGGTAACCTCGACCTTCTTGCTTCACTTCTTTCTCCTCTCACTGATTTCATGAGCAATTCTTTTGCATCCTCTACCTCCTTTTTAAATAATTCTGTCTATATCATCCGAAGATTTTTTTTCACCGTATTTATACTCTGTGTGTGTGTGTGTGTGTGTGTGTGTGTGTGTGTGTGTGTGTGTGTGTGTGTGTGTGTGTGTGTGTGTGTGTGTGTTTGTTTGTGTGTGTGTAAAATTCAGATATGTAACTAAAAATATATTTCTATAAAGACAATACAAAGAAAAAAGGAAAACTATCTCAGCCGTCGTGTTTCGTCCTCCGATGGACTTTATCAAAACAAATGCAAGGATTTTATTTTGCAACGTGTATTTATACACAAAAGTAAACATGTCATTAATTTTTTCAAAATATTAAACACTAAGAACGCTCATAAATATATTTCAGGCTAACAGAAAAATGGAGGTAAATTATGGAAGATGCTAAGTGATGTAATTTAATGTCTGATTAACGCAGGTGACTAAATGTGATAGTTGAATTTTTTATAATGCAATTATTATTTATATTATTTTAGTTAGAGAAATTAATTTATGTATTAAATATTTTAAATAATAGGTTTTTAATTTAACCGTTTTCTTTTATTATTTTTTATAGTCACTCTTTTGAGTTGGGAAGAAGTATTTCTTTTAGGAATGGAGAGATTTGAAAAATTCCGAGGCGTAGATTTATATTTTGGTAAGATTCGACAGTGGCAGTCTTAAGAATTTTTCAAAAAGTGTGACAATTCATTGTTGCAAAATTACATTTATATTTGCTTTGCTAAAGTCCATAAGAGAAACGTGTCGATAAGTTTTCCTTCTGTCTTTATCCACAGACACAAACACACACACACACACACACACACACACACACATATATATATATATATAGATAGATAGATAGATAGATAGATAGATAGATAGATAGATATAGATAGATATATGAGGACTGATCAAAATGTATCGAAACTGATGCTAAAAAAAAAAAAAAACAACACATATGAATTCGGCATTTAATCTCCTTCAAAGTTGTCCCCTTCTGAAGCCAAACACTTTATCCAGCGTCGTTTACATTGATGGAAGGATTCCTGGAACTATCTTTTTGGTTAGCGAGCAGATGCCTCGCCACATTCTTTTGGGTTTCTTTGACGTTTTTACATTGTGTTCCTTTCAAGTAGAATTCGATTTTTGAAAAGGAAAAGGTGGCGGGGGCGAGATCTGGGGAATATTGTGCTAGGTAAAAAAAAAAAACCTGCTACACAAGCCATGGTCAAGCTGTGCCCAGAGGATTCACTCTGCGTACTTTATTTCCGCTAGCGTAGGAATAGTCCCGATACTTTTGGATCAGACCTCGTATATATATATATATATATATATATATATATATATATATCTTTTTATCCAGGTTATTTTTGGATCATTCTCTGGTTTTCTTCATTGGTAATTCTGTTGAAGAAATCCTCGAGCCTCTGGGAGATATGAGCGTGTAGTCCCTGTTTTATCCAACGATTGTACTGGATTCTATCTCGAAGAGAAAAAAAAAATTTAAACAGATTGAAAGATCAGAAGCTGACGCAGAAGGTCCATCACCCACCAGTGAAAGCAGTAATCAACATCGGCCAATATCAGCTGAGTGCCTCTGAGGGGTCAGTATTAAATAAGGGTCTCAACTTTACGACAACCATCAGGCGATTGCCATACTTGCACATCATTCCCAGAGTCGAGGAGGTGGCCTTGAATTTCCCTCAGGCTCAGGCGGATGAACTAAGATGGAACGTGAAACAGACCTTGGAGAAGGCCAAGCCGCCCAGGTCAAACATCACGAAACTGGAGAGGCTGGCGATCGGATCCCTACAAACATCATCATACTACCGGCTGACAAAGGCAATGAAACTGTAGTGATGGACAAATCAGATTATACAAGAAAACTGGAAGACCTCATTAGCAATGGTAGCTACAGCAAAGTGAAAAAGGATCCTACAATGAAAACGGAATGCAAACTGTCAAGAACAAGGATCGCTTCGCACCTAAGACGTATAGGCAGATATCGCAGCGTTACACCAAGCTATCTCACATATACGGCCTCCCTAAGATTCACAAAGACCGATTCCGTTCAGGCCGATTGTTAGTCGCCAAGGCTCTATGTGCCACCCTCTGAGTCGCTTCCTCGTAGATATAATTGACTTATTGATCGTAAAGTCTCCTTCATATATCCGAAACTCCGCCCACTTCGTGGAAATAATCAAAGATGCTCCCATCTTATCCAACCAGATGGTGTGCTTGGACGTAGTGAGTTTGTTTACCAAGGTACCCACGGGGGAGGCACTCTCAGTAGTCAGAGACAGATTGGCCTCTGACTCTTCCCTAGAAGAACGGACCAGTATTCCAATAGATAATCTGTTTGAGATGTTGACTTTCTGTACACAAACAACACACTTCGGAATGGGATCACACATATATCAACAGGATGAGGGCTTAGCAATGGGCTCGCCATTATCACCAGCAATGGCTAATATATACATGGAATACTTTGAGGAAATGGCATTAGAATCTATATCTCTAAAGCCAACTCTATAGTTAAGGTACATAGATGACACCTTCATACTCTGGCCACGTCAGACAGATGTTCAGGTTCTACTGGACCACGTGAACTTAATAAGACCTTCGATACAGTTCACGATGGAGAAAGCGAGTAACAACACACTCCCATTCCTGGATGTTCTAATATCTTGAACAGAGCATAGTTTCAAGACATCCGTATATCATAAACCGACATCCACCCGACAGTACTTCAATTTCAACTCCCACCATCCATACAGCGTAAAGAAAGGGATCGTCCGCTGTTTACAACAGCGAGCAAAAGTCATAAGTGGTGACCCAGAGACATTAGATAAAGAATTGGTCAATATAAGTAGTACCCTACAACGTAACAACTACCCTGGGTACATGGTAGCAGCCCCAATAAACTGGGATAGGCGGGAGGAGGACAACAACACTCAGAAAACAGTCTGCCTGCCTTATGTGAAGGGGTTATCAGAGAAAATACAAAGAATCCTCGGTCTATATAACATCAGGAAAACCTTCAAAAGCTTGACGACACTTTGCAGATATCTCTTCCGAATATGACCCCCATAGAGGAGAACATGACTAAAGACTGTGTGTACACTATTCCGTGCAGCTGCGGAAAGAAATATAAAGGGGAGACAGGCCGCCCCCTTAAGTAAGGCTTCAAGAACACCAGAAAGCTGTAACACGAGGAGAAGTGGAAAAATCAGGCATGGCTGACCACATATGGAGAGAAAAGGGAGATCACCGCCCTCTGTGGGATCAGGTTGAGATCATAGACAAAGAACATCATTGGAAAATTCGTAAACTTAAGGAATCAGCACATATTCTATGGCTGTTTATATTATATACATTGTCCGGCTTATTGGTCCATCTTTATTGCCATATTCACGACATTTCGGCCGTTGTATATTCCTGCCTTCTTCAGGTGATTGAAATTTCGAATTTTATTTCGTCCACCTGGGTAGATTGTTCTAGCTCCACATGCCATGCCTCTTCCGGATGTTCTCAAGGACACACGGCCCAGTGGAAAAAAAAACCTTGGTCGGATACAGTGACTTCGACCAAAGAGTTGTGAGTTCAATACCTGGCTACTACAGTGATGAACAAAAACTTAGAGAGTTGAGTTAAAGAAAAATAACTGAGACATCCGGAAGAGGCATGGCACGGATCAATCTACTCCAGTGGACCAAATAAAGGGTTCAGTTCGAAATTACAATCATCTGAGAAAGGCCGGAGCGTACAACGGGTGAAACGTCGTGAATGTGGCAATAAAGATGAGGACAACAGTCCAAACAATGTAAATAATGTAAATAATTACAATATCTCATAAACATAGACAGGAATATGGCTCTACAGAAGGATGTTGAGAATACCATTGACGGAGCGCAGAAGCAACAAAAAAGTCGAAAGAAAATGAAAACAAAAAGGACACTTATACTCAGAATCAGAGAGAGAGAGAGAGAGAGAGAGAGAGAGAGAGAGAAATTCTTGGAAACATAATGAAGAAGAAGGGCTTGGAGAATATGATACTCACAGGAAATATCGAAAGCAAAAGGCACGGTGAGAAGAAGTGAACCTACCTACCTGACAAGCTTGTGTGGATGGATGAATGTTTAAACCGAGGGTGGAAGGGATGGAAAAGGAACAAATGCTACTTAGAGCTACAATGGATAGGAGATTGTGGAGAGCCATGATAGCCCACGTCCTGAAGACACGTGGTACACAGAAGAAGATTCTCAGTAATTATGAATTAAAGTTTCTTTCCTCTGTTGCTCTTTTGTCATTCTCAGATCGTCTTTCTACGACCGTTAAATAAGCCACATTCTTCAGTATAAAGAGACTGGCTAGTTAAGTAGCATTCTTCACTGATGATGATATTCTTCTTTTTTTTTTTCACTTCCTCTTTTCTATTTCCTCTTCCCGCCTCTCTCAAACATCTCATTTCATTCACACTCCCTTTCCCTTATTTTCCCGCCATTAATTCCCTGTTCAAAACATTTACCGTCTCGCCTGCCTTCACACTTTCTCGTCAAAACCGAAAACCAACGAAATACGCAAACAAATGGAATTAGAGGAATTTTCATTTATTTTTATCTGTCAGATTGTTTTGTTTTCTGTCTTTCGTTTTTATGTTACGTTTTATACAATTTATTTTCTTGCTATGCTGTTTGTTGTTGTTGTTTTTTTATTATTGTTGTTTTTTTTTTTTACATTCCAACATCTAAAGTGGCCAATTGCTCAATTGACAAGGGATCATTACGAGGCCATATTCCGTATCTTGAAAGACGCTCTGATGCGTAGCACGTGTCCCACTTTTCAAAGGTAACAATCAACAAAGAAACTAGAGCGTATAATGTCCAGTAAATAAGTACCCCTCCTTCAAACGAGAGCAAAACCAGAACTTAAACTCATCTTGAAAATTCTTGACAAATTCTATTTTTGTAAGAAATAAACATTTTCCAGGTGACATTTTTTATTATGAAAAAAGAATTGGTATTTCAGAATGATTTTGAAGCATAAAAAATATTTAGGACCTCGAAAGAAACGCGTTACGTAAGGTTTACAATTAATTTTAAAAAATAAAAAATCTTTCTCGAAGAGTTTATTTTAGTTTTAATTTCAAGCAAACAGATTAAATTTAATATTTCCAACAAGCAAAGTACTTTGCTCTATTTAAATTTAGAATGACTGGAAGGAATTTATTTATTTTATTTTTTTGAAATTTTTTAATATTTTCTTTTTGAAATCACTAAAAATCGCTTATTTTAACGCCATTTTTAGTCGCCTGTCACCACATTGTAATTCTCTTTATTCAAAATTTTTTCAAAAATAAAATATATTTCTCTAAACCTTTTTTGAGGAATATTAGAAGACTTAAAGTTTAATTAATATGATTTGAAACAAATATTACTTACTTTTTAACTTTTTTCTACGGGGAACATATTTGTAAAAATTACTTGAGGCATATGACGTAAGCGCCTTTTTAATATAATTTTTAACTACCCCGTAATCTTTAAAATTTAGGAAAATATTCTCTGTAATCCAATGTTTTATTGAATTTTACATATTTTGGCTTTAAATTTAATATGGCTCTTATTTTCTGATCATGTCGCGTATGGACGACTGTATTTTAAAAATTGGCTCGTTTATACACACACACACACACACAATTTTTTGTAAAATATTGGGAGTCGTTGAGTAAGCTTTTCTATTTATGATTAGTAAATATAGTTTTTACGTAACAACACTATCATCTAACCGGTAAAAATTAATACAAAAATTTAAAAGATGTAAAACTATAAATTATTATGATTTAGATTTTTAAAAAAATTAAAATAATTTTAATAATACATTACTCAACGAATTTTTTTTCTTAAGTCAATAGTATCCATAATATTTCTTATCCATAAAAACAATTAAAAGCTTTTCTAATTAAATGTCTTAGTTTTATTGAAATTCTTATTTATTTTACGGTTTATCGCAGATTTTAGGTAACTGGTGTTGCTATTTTACAAAAATAAATTGATGATTTAAATTCTCTAAGGACTTCTGCTTTTAACTAATAAAAACATTATGTCCGTAAGGACGTCTTGCCCACCAATCAACAAATTCTGTTATTTATCGCTTTAAGTGTCGGGGTGAGGCCGATTATGTGGGTAAGACTCTCCAACGGCTGGAGGTGAGAATTGCGTAGCACGTGCTTGTGTCTATACGTAGACATGCTCCATTAGCATCCGGGCACTCACAGGTGCACGAGCTTGCTTCGGCAATTAGTTGGGGAATCGTCTCCAGCTGAGCTAGTCGAACTCTCTGCCTTCGGACTGAGAGGAACCCAGACGAGGCTATGCTACCTGACCCCGTTTTTTACGGGGAATTTTTGTCCGAGCTCGTAGGCCTTGTGCCACATCTGACCGCGTGGGATGGTTGGCAAATATTCTCACAGGCGCATGAGCCTACCATCGTGGAGCATTTATTGAGTTCTGTCACTTGTGGCGTCCAATTATTCAACGGAGTTCTTCACCGTGCGGCACAGAGCTCGGACGAAATGTAATCTTAATATCTTGAAGGCGGTTGTTATCAACACCCTCTCGTCCGACTCTGGGTTGGCAGAGGCAGCTGAAATATAAACTCTTCGGCAGGGGGGTAGTCTTTGTCTTGTTCTGGGCAACTTTATTTTTTCCCCTATATCCCTTGTCTCTCCTAATTCTATTGTAGTTCAGTTTTAAGAGTAATATATATATATATATATATATATATATATATATGTGTGTGTGTGTGTGTGTGTGTGTGTGTGTGTGTGTGTGTGTGTGTGTGTGTGTGTGTGTGTGTGTTACTAAAATTACAATGAAAACTAAATACTTCTTAAATATTTACATAATATGAAGTAAATAATAATGTTTATATCTAAATATTTAAATATGGCCCCCATTCGTTGCACGTAAGACATCTAAGCGATATTAAATTCTTTGATTCCGGTAATTCTTTAATTACAGTTTGAAAGATAAAAACATAGCATTAATGATTTGTTTAGCTAATAGGTAATTAGCAGAAAGAGTGCTATAACTCATGGGCAATTTTGAGTCAGGTTACGTAGAATATCTACAGCTACTAAGTTTGATCATCATAACAATTAATAACAATTAATAACAATTAATAAAACTATTAATTGCATTAATCGAACTTTAATAATAACATATTAATATATGACAAAAATTTAGTTTCCACCTTTTCTAATTTTTTCGTAATGACTTTTTGAAATTGTCTAAACACTTTGTGGTCACCCTGTCATGGATAACGTTTGAAGTAATAAAAATATTAAAATAATATATTTATTAACAAACATATTCTGTTTAAATAAAGAAAAACTTATAAAATGACTTTAGATATTTTCCTGTTACCCAAACGTTGTTACCAAAACAGAAAGGAAAATTAACTTTTAAGACACAGATTTTCCTTTCAACTTCATTCGATTTGTACGTTAGCATATCTGAGAACACCGTTCAATCGCCATAGTTAAGCAACGTTTTGCCCGGTCAGTGCATAAATGCAGGACCACAACGTTAGAAACATAGGGTACTGTAAGCAACCGCCTACAATCTGAAATATGTTTCAGCTTTAAATAACCCACCAAGGGTTGATAAGTCGTAAAAAACAAATCAATCAACGTTAATCCAATGACCTAAAAATTTCTACAGAATTAAAACAAAAAATGTAATAATTTTATTTATTCTTCTTTATATGCCGTGTCCCCTCAGGACGTTGGCGATCATGGCTCTCCACAATTTCCTATCCCTTGTAGTTCTTAATAAATTTTGTTTTTTCATTGTTTCTCCTAAACCCTGTTTCGCTATCCATTTACATGGCGTTGATTTCCTTTGTCTCACTTGCCTTCAATCTGTCCTGTGAGTATGAGATTTTCCAAACCCTCCTTCCTCATTATGTGGCCCTGAAATTTCAGCAGTCTCTTCCTGAAGTTAATATGTTTCCTTTTTGTTTCCATTTTCTCTAAAACCTCGTCATTATTCACATGTTCGGGCAATGGTATCCTCAGCATCCTCCTGTTGCTTCAAGTCTGTTCTTTATCTTTGAAGAGATTGTCCAGCATTCACTGCCATATAGGAGGGCAGATATTACATAACAGTTCGATACTTTTTTTTGTTGTTTCGAACCAAGTTTTTCTGTCTCTTAATAATTTGCTTATCTTTTGAAATACATGTCTGACAATCCCAATGGGTTTTCGGATTTCAGTGTCGAACTTTCTGTCCTCTGTTAAAACACTTCCCGTTAAATTTTTGCTTCATTTTGCTATTTCCAATTTGTAATTTGCATTTCGAGCTCCTCCTTTTGCCAATAACTATTCTGTATTCTGTCTCCTTGTAGTTTACACTTAGTCCTTTCTTCTCGCTTTCCTTCACGACCTTCTGTAGGCGCTTTTGTAGTTTTCTTTCTGTGTCTACTATCAACACTGTATTATCTGCATATCTTACGTTGTTAAGATAAATTAAATTTTGGTAAGACATATAATTCTCTTGGAATCGTCTTAATGTATTGGTTGAATAAGCCCGGTGAGAAGACCCATCCTTGTCTTATACCCCTTTCTATTATTGTATATATGCTGAACCCATCTTCTATCCGTATTGCGGTGGTTTACTGTCAGTATAAGGTTCTTGATTATTCTAATATCCCTCCCAAATATGTCAAGGTTGTTGAGCAGTTCTAAGAGATCTTTGTAACGTAATTTATCGAACGCCTTTGCGTAGTCTATAAAACACAGCATTTTCAAAAAGTTCAATAAAAAAAGTTTTACCAAGATTTTCTAAAAAGAAATATTTTTAAAATAATTTTATTCATGTGTAAATAAGTCCTGAAAGTTTCCTTAAAATTTCGCAATTATTCGATTTTTATAACAATTTCTAAATTAACGTTTCTTTCACCGCAAAAAAAAAGATGTTAAAATTTGCTATTCTAATTTATAATACATCCACTGACGCAAAAAAAATTAAATTTTTAATC